CTGCGGTCTCTGACCGTCCCCTGTATCGCCTGCAGCCTCTGACCGTCCCCTGTATCGCCTGCTGCCTCTGACCGTCTACTGTAGCACGTCTGCAGTCTCTGACCGTCTACTGTAGCACGTCTGCAGTCTCTGACCGTCTACTGTAGCACGTCTGCAGTCTCTGACCGTCTACTGTAGCACGTCTGCAGTCTCTGACCGTCTACTGTAGCACGTCTGCAGTCTCTGACCGTCTACTGTAGCACGTCTGCAGTCTCTGACCGTCTACTGTAGCACGTCTGCAGTCTCTGACCGTCTACTGTAGCACGTCTGCAGTCTCTGACCGTCTACTGTAGCACGTCTGCAGTCTCTGACCGTCTACTGTAGCACGTCTGCAGTCTCTGACCGTTTACTGTAGCACGTCTGCAGTCTCTGACCGTCCCCTGCATCGCGTCTGCAGTCTCTGACCGTCCCCTGTATCGCGTCTGCAGTCTCTGACCGTCCCCTGTATCGCCTGCAGCCTCGGATCGTCCCCTGTATCGCCTGCTGCCTCTGACCGTCTCTTGTATCACGTCTGCAGTCTCTGACCGTCTACTGTAGCACGTCTGCAGTCTCTGACCGTCTACTGTAGCACGTCTGCAGTCTCTGACCGTCTACTGTAGCACGTCTGCAGTCTCTGACCGTCTACTGTAGCACGTCTGCAGTCTCTGACCGTCTCCTGTATCGTGCCTGCAGTCTCTGACCGTCTCCTGTATCGCGCCGCTCTATGCATCCATAAGACACAGCTCTTTCCTGATTGGCTCCCTGACTGTAATTGATAGCACTGGGAGCCAATGGAGGAGAGGGAGACATAGGACAGCCGAGGCTCCTGTGCACATCAAGAGGGGGCTCAGGAGAGTATTGGGGGGGGGGGGGAGGGGGCTGCGGCACACTGACTATGCATAGAACACATGAAGGTGTAAAAAAAAAACCTTCAGCCTTTACAACCACTGTGACGGTGTGAGTGTGTGTGGGGGCACTAAAAATGTGGCTCAACCTTGCATTGTTACCACCCCCCAACTGCACATCCAGAAGTAGCCTAATGCCTAAAACAACCAGCACCTCTGAAAGCACGCAGCGCCAGCTTACTGGTGTCGAAAGTGTCAGCACAGAATTCTGGGGGCCCGACGTGACAACCGACAGAGCCGGATCCCTTCCACCAGAATGTTTTTAAAAATGTAATAACGAAAAACATCTGTATCAGAAATGGATACAAATAGATACATTGTTGCAACTGGAAGACTTTTCATATAAAATATAATAGCGGACTGGAATTCTTCTTCTGTATTGCTCCCCCGTGTGCTCCCCTGTGTGCTCCCCCGTCTCTGCAAGGGACAGAAGTGATTATGGGGTTAAATGCCGGCCATAGACGGCACGAAAATTGTCCAATTTTTTTTTACCGTTGGTGGTAACGTCGGCCGATCGTACGACCGATTTTTTCTTTTTTTAAATGTCCGATTTTCGAGCCGTCTCCGGCCTGCATTAGGACTGGCAATTAGTGTTTAGAACCCGCAATCCATCTGTGTAGCCGGGGTCTGTTCTCGGCCAGGAAGGACGGGCGACGTTGGTGGGATGACACCGCACAGATACTCGCCCTCGTTGGACATCCGTAGCGGAGATGAGCGCCGCGCACACCGAGGATCCGGCCTCTACCAGCAGAATCCTGAGGACTGGGACACGGACCGCACCTCGGGGACTACATTAGTCCTCTCCTGAATGACGATTTATATCTCGGCTGCCGCTATTAAGACTCTTCTACAGGACGACCTTCAGCTCCTCGGCTGCCATATCGAACCCTCGGCGTGATCGGTCCAATCCTGTCCCACAAGAACATTCTGACACTCAGCCCGTCCAATTAATGCTCCTCAGCCGAGCTTCTGCAATCCCCAGGAGGACGCCAAATCCTCCGCTGAACCCTTCGGGAGTCCAAAGCTGGAGCTTCACAGCCATCCAGACGTGTGATTGGGGGGGGGGGGGGGGGGGGGCAGAGATTTGTTCCGTCCCCCTCCAGATCCAATGTTATGGGAATTCAGACTTGCCTTAAGGCGCGTACATACCTTACAGAACATCTGTTGTTTAGTCGAATGTCTGTAGACCCCCCCCTGACCCCCCCAACTCAGCCCTCTGGATCCTACTTATTACCCAGCAAAGCTACAAAAATATGAGAAATCCCTCTAACGGGGGAAACATTATAAAATGATTTTTTTTTAAATTGTAGAAAAAATCATAAAATAGTAGAAAATGTATATAAATTAAAGAAGGCATAAAAAGAAAATGTAGAAAAATTATAGAAGAATTATACAAAAAAAAAAAAAAAAAAGCAAAAACTAAGCTGGTGGTTGGCTGCAAGGCATGTCTCAGGGCGGGCTTTCCTGATGATGACAACGACCGGCCAGGTTTTTATAATGTGTGTGGTAATGGCCACTTGTAGTCACCATCGGAAGGCCATGTGACAAGGTGACAACGCAGGAGTGTAATTAGGAGACGGGGACAGAACGTTGTCACCGCAACACAGACATGCTTGATTACTTTTTTATTACAAAATATTAAAATGTGTTAAAAAATATTGAATGATTGATGTTAAAAATGATTAAGAATAATATTAAAATAATTAGTAATATTAAAAAAATCCCATTGACATATTAACCCCTCCCCGCTCCCTCCTGGGTCCTTACATCGAGGAGGGAGAAAAGGGGACGGACTTCCCACTCATGCAATCGCTGTGATTGGCTGCCCCAGGAGCCTGTCCTGCCGGCTCTCACATAGGATCTGAGACAAGGAGCTTACTGTGACTTGTGCGGAAAGCCTACAGTCCACCAATGGTGAGACCTCGTCTGCCGTGGTGTGTGGGCACTAAGGTCCGCCCTCCTTGACATTGCACATGTGCATTGTGTGGGCACTAAGCTCCGCCCTCCTTGACATCGCACATATGCATTGTGTGGGCACTAAACTCCGCCCTCCTTGACAGCGCACATGTGCATTGTGTGGGCATTAAGGTCCGCCCTCCTTCCCGTCGCACATGTGCATTGTGTGGGCATTAAGGTCCGCCCTCCTTGACAGCGCACATGCGCATTGTGTGGGCATTAAGGTCCGCTCTCCTTCCCGTCGCACATGTGCATTGTGTGGGCATTAAGGTCCGCCCTCCTCGCCGTCACACATGTGTATTGTGTGGACATTAAGGTCCGCCCTCCTCGCCATCACACATGTGCATTGTGTGGGCATTAAGGTCCGCCCTCCTTGACATCGCACATGTGCATTGTGTGGGCATTAAGGTCCGCCCTCCTCGCCGTCACACATGTGTATTGTGTGGACATTAAGGTCCGCCCTCCTCGCCATCACACATGTGCATTGTGTGGGCATTAAGGTCCGCCCTCCTTGACATCGCACATGTGCATTGTGTGGGCATTAAGGTCCGCCCTCCTTCCTGTCGCACATGTGCATTGTGCGGGCATTAAGGTCCGCCCTCCTTGCTGTCGCACATGTGCATTGTGTGGACATTAAGGTCCGCCCTCCTTCCCGTCGCACATGTGCATTGTGTGGGCATTAAAGTCCGCCCTCCTTCCCGTCGCACGTGGGCATTAAGGTCCACCCTCCTTCCCGTCGCACATGTGCATTGTGTGGGCATTAAGGTCCGCCCTCCTTGACAGCGCACATGTGCATTCTGTGGGCATTAAGGTCCACCCTCCTTCCCATCGCAGATGTGCATTGTGTGGGCATTAAGGTCCGCCCTCTCCGCCGTCGAACATGTGCATTGTGTGGGTGCTAAGGTCCGCCCTCCCCGCCGTCGCACATGTGCATTGCGTGGGCATTAAGGTCCGCCCTCCTCGCCGTCGCACATGTGCATTGTGTGGGCATTAAGGTCCGCCCTCCTTGCCGTCGCACATGTGCATTGTGTGAGCATTAAGGTCCGCCCTCCTTGCCGTCGCACATGTGCATTGTGTGGGCATTAAGGTCCGCCCTCCTTGCCGTCGCACATGTGCAGCTTCTATGAGATTTCATTGGTCAGGTTCTTCTATACTGTAAGTCCCGGTCACACTGGATGTGAATTGGCATGTGATTTTGCATGCCATGTGACTTATAAATCGCATGCCAAGTCGCACCCTATTGTCCGCAATCACAGCGGTCATATCGGCGCGGTTCTGACTTGGTCGGATCCGCACTGATTTCTAAAGTAGTCCATGGGCTACTATTGGTGCGATTTTCATAGATCTCCGTGTCAGATGTCTTGCAAGTCGCACCTGAAATCGGCAAGTCACCCGACTTCACTGTAAGTCGCACGATTTCAAAGTCGGTTTGCTGTGACCGCGGGGTGTGAGCATCGCTCTCGCCGGGTCTCCAAAGGTGACGCCGCTGCGGGCAGAGTAACGCGCAGAGCGTCAACTATTTCCATGGCAACCATTTGAATTCCTCAGTCAATCAATTAGATCACAAGCCACTTAATCAGCGCGGAGTTAATGAGCGGAGCTGCGTCAGCCACGTGTACAGCCGCTATCCATGGAATGTCTGCAATCCCCCCCTAGAGAGGGAGATCCGGCTTCCAATATCCATTCAACGCTTTCCTCCAAAAGTCGATGCAAATCGAACCATTCCCAGAGCGTCTTCCTCCATACCGGTGGAACACGGCCAACCCCCCTCCCCCGCCGCACGGCGCCTGCCAGGTTTTACTTTCCAAGACGGGAAAAGAGAATACCTTGCGGTAAGGGACGCCCCGCCATACAATGATCGTTCCTCCAAAGTGTCAGATCAGAAATCAGATCCATCCCCCCTCCCCCGCTAGAATAGCCACCCCCCCCCCCTCGGACCCCCATTACCTACAAATATATCCCACAGAATTACATCCCATGGCTTTGGTTCTGGATGTGTCCTGAGGAGCGACAAATGCAAACGTTTATGTCACATAGAGATATCTCTGAAACATTTATTGGTTAAAAGCATCAAATGCAGCCGACACGTCGCAGGGAAACGCCTCCCCTTCCTCAGGGCGTGGCCAGTGGGTGCTATAGAGTCACAGAGGAAGGCCAAGGAGGACCTACAGTATGTGATCTCTCAATCCGCATGGACTCTGATTACTCCTTGTGCTGCCATCAGTAGGAAATAGGATGGTCAGAGACTGCGAACACAGTACAGGAGACGGTCAGAGACTGCGGACACAGTACAGGGGATGACCAGAGACTGCGGACAGTACAGGAGATGACCAGAGACTGCAGACACAGTGCAGGAGATGACCAGAGACTGCGGACACAGTACAGGAGACGGTCAGAGACTGCGGACACAGTACAGGAGACGGTCAGAGAGACTGCGGACACAGTACAGGAGACGGTCAGAGACTGCGGACACAGTACAGGAGACGGTCAGAGACTGCGGACACAGTACAGGGGATGACCAGAGACTGCGGACACAGTACAGGAGATGACCAGAGACTGCGGACACAGTACAAGAGATGGTCAGAGACTGCGGACACAGTACAGGAGATGACCAGAGACTGCGGACACGGTACAGGAGATGGTCAGAGACTGCAGACACAGTACAGGAGATGACCAGAGACTGCGGACACAGTACAAGAGATGGTCAGAGACTGCGGACACAGTACAGGAGATGGTCAGAGACTGCGGACACAGTACAGGAGATGACCAGAGACTGCGGACACAGTACAGGAGACGGTCAGAGACTGCGGACACAGTACAGGAGATGGTCAGAGACTGCGGACATAGTACAGGAGACGGTCAGAGACTGCAGACACAGTACAGGAGATGGTCAGAGACTGCGGACATAGTACAGGAGATGACCAGAGACTGCGGACACAGTACAGGGGATGACCAGAGACTGCGGACACAGTACAGGAGATGGTCAGAGACTGCGGACACAGTACAGGAGATGGTCAGAGACTGCGGACACAGTACAGGAGATGACCAGAGACTGCGGACACAGTACAGGAGATGACCAGAGACTGCGGACACAGTACAAGGAATGACCAGAGACTGCGGACACAGTACAGGGGATGACCAGAGACTGCGGACATAGTACAGGAGATGACCAGAGACTGCGGACACAGTACAGGAGATGACCAGAGACTGCGGACAGCACAGGGGATGACCAGAGACTGCGGACACAGTACAGGAGATGACCAGAGACTGCGGACATAGTGCAGGAGATGACCAGAGACTGCGGACAGCACAGGGATGACCAGAGACTGCGGACACAGTACAGGAGATGACCAGAGACTGCGGACACAGTACAGGAGATGACCAGAGACTGCGGACACAGTACAGGAGATGGTCAGAGACTGCGGACACAGTACAGGAGATGACCAGAGACTGCGGACATAGTACAGGAGATGACCAGAGACTGCGGACACAGTACAGGAGATGACCAGAGACTGCGGACACGGTACAGGAGATGACCAGAGACTGCGGACACAGTACAGGAGATGACCAGAGACTGCGGACACGGTACAGGAGATGGCCAGAGACTGCGGACACGGTACAGGAGATGACCAGAGACTGCGGACAGCACAGGAATCCATCACACGCCCAGGCAGGAGGAATCCCTGGGTGACGCAACCATCTCAGGGCGGATCACCAGCCGACACGCCCAGCAGGGAAGCAGCTGAGGAGTTATTTATTACGGGCACCAACAATGTGGGGGGTAATCCACAGGGAGAGGATGCAAACTCCATGCAGACATTGTCCTGGTTAGGATTGGAGCCAAGGACCCCCGTGCTGCACATAGTTACAGGCAAACTCCATGCTGAACGTCTCTTTATATCGGAAGGTCGCTCTCCCGGCCAGAAGTGAATATTTGAGATCCTTATCCTGGTAATATCAGTGGATGGGAAGGAGATCGGAGTCATGTGTCCATTCCATACATTATTATAGGCTGGATGATGTCATCACTGGGTCTCTGTGCTTCTCTATGCAATGCAGGCAGATCACAGCTGGTGGAAGGGGCTGGCATGGCTTATGCCTCAGAATTCCTCTCAAGAGCCCTCAGTACATGTAAGCAGTGGGCCGGTTCCTGGGAGGAGTTATGCAAATACCAAAAATCAGCTCCCTCACATTGCCCCTTAATACAATCAGCACCCCACCCCCCACATTGCACCCTAATACACTCAGCGCCCCCCACATTGCACCCTAATACACTCAGCACCCCCCCCACATTGCACCCCAATACACTCAGCGCCCCCCACATTGCACCCTAATACACTCAGCTCCCCCCAACTTGCACCCCAATACACTCAGCGCCCCCCCCACATTGCACCCGAATACACTCAGCGCCCCCCACATTGCACCCTAATACACTCAGCGCCCCCCCCACATTGCACCCCAATACACTCAGCGCCCCCCCCCCCCACATTGCACCCTAATACACTCAGCACCCCCACATTGCACCCCCAATACACTCAGCACCCCCCCACATTGCACCCTAATACACTCAGCACCCCCCACATTGCACCCCAATACACTCAGCACCCCCACATTGCACCCCAATACACTCAGCACCCCCCACATTGCACCCCAATACACTCAGCACCCCCACATTGCACCCCAATACACTCAGCACCCCCCACATTGCACCCCTAATACACTCAGCACCCCCCACATTGCACCCCAATACACTCAGCACCCCCACATTGCACCCCAATACACTCAGCACCCCCCACATTGCACCCTAATACACTCAGCACCCCACATTGCACCCCAATACACTCAGCACCCCCCACATTGCACCCCAATACACTCAGCACCCCCCACATTGCACCCCAATACACTCAGCACCCCCCACATTGCACCCCAATACACTCAGCACCCCCCACCCCCACATTGCACCCCAATACACTCAGCACCCCCCACATTGCACCCTAATACACACAGCACCCCACATTGCACCCCAATACACTCAGCACCCCCCACATTGCACCCCAATACACTCAATACACTCAACCCCCACATTGCACCCCAATACACTCAGCGCCCCCCACATTGCACCCCCCACATTGCACCCTAATACACACTCAGCACCCCAATACACAGCGCCCCCCACATTGCACCCCAATACACTCAGCGCCCCCCACATTGCACCCCAATACACTCAGCGCCCCCCACATTGCACCCCAATACACTCAGCACCCCCACATTGCACCCCAATACACTCAGCGCCCCCCACATTGCACCCCAATACACTCAGCACCCCAATACACTCAGCCCCCCCACATTGCACCCTAATACACACAGCACCCATACATTGCACCCCAATACACTCAGCGCCCCCCCACATTGCACCCCAATACACTCAGCGCCCCCCACATTGCACCCCAATACACTCAGCGCCCCCCACATTGCACCCCAATACACTCAGCCCCCCCCACATTGCACCCCAATACACTCAGCACCCCCCACATTGCACCCTAATACACTCAGCACCCCCCACATTGCACCCTAATACACTCAGCACCCCCCATATTGCACCCCAATACACTCAGCGCCCCCCACATTGCACCCCAATACACTCAGCGCCCCCCACATTGCACCCCAATACACTCAGCGCCCCCCACATTGCACCCCAATACACTCAGCACCCCCCACATTGCACCCTAATACACACAGCACCCCCCCACATTGCACCCTAATACACACAGCACCAGGGTGGATAAAAATCAATGATTTTTTTTTTTAAAAAAATCAAAAAAATCAGATTTTTTTTTATTTAAATCGGATTTTTTTTAAAATAAAATGCTTTTTGAGGAACATATATTACCACCCAAAGGTTATTCCGTCATGAAATAAAGATTAGTTTTGTAATGATGTAGAATGAGGCTGTTATGTTTGGTACATAAATCCCATGAATCCATTCACAATGTCAGCCCCTCCCTCCTCAGAATGTCAGCCCCTCCCTCCTCAGAATGTCAGCCCCTCCCTCCTCACACTGTCAGCCCCTCCCTCCTCCCTGTTTTGGTACATAAATCCCATGAATCCATTCACAATGTCAGCCCCTCCCTCCTCAGAATGTCAGCCCCTCCCTCCTCAGAATGTCAGCCCCTCCCTCCTCACACTGTCAGCCCCTCCCTCCTCACACTGTCAGCCCCTCCCTCCTCAGAATGTCAGCCCCTCCCTCCTCAGAATGTCAGCCCCTCCCTCCTCAGACTGTCAGCCCCCTCCCTCCTCACACTGTCAGCCCCTCCCTCCTCACAATGTCAGCCCCTCCCTCCTCACACTGTCAGCCCCTCCCTCCTCCCTGTTTGGTACATAAATCCCATGAATCCATTCACAATGTCGCTCTCCAGAGGTGTCTGTAGGATTATTGGGCAGTTTCTCTGCCTACAAGATATGATCACAGATGTCGGTTTACTTTGCAGTTATAAATCTGACTGTGACTCAGCGGAGATCACATGACTCTTCACAGCAACAATGTTATAACATGAACAGAGCTAAGAAAGACCTTCATCCTAACTTCTACACACCTATGAATACAGGATCAACCCCTTCAGTGCCAAGGTGCAAGAAGTTCAGTGAATAGAAGAGAAACAATATTTCTCTGATTGTTTGGAGTGGAATAGATCTGCACAAGAAGAAAGTGAATCTAAGTGTGAGGAGGGAGGGGCCGACAGTGCGAGGAGGGAGGGGCCGACAGTGCGAGGAGGGAGGGGCCGACAGTGCGAGGAGGGGGAGGGGCCGACAGTGCGAGGAGGGAGGGGCCGACAGTCCACGTTTCTTACAATATATATATTTTGTTTAGCCAAATTAGTTACCAATCACGGATGTTTAAGCGAATCACAGACGCTGGAATGTTGTTGTTTCAGATGAATAAATCTATTTACATTGTTATTATTAAGGTGATGATTATTTTTCTCCTTCCGAAGTAACAGAAAAGTTGTCCAAATCTGAATGATTAACCTATTAAACTGGGGAGAAAAAAACTATGAAAAGTTATTGTTCTAAAAATCTTCATATTAAAGTTATACCAGAAGAATTAGTCTTTATGTAGAAAACTAGGATTTACATCAAATCCACCCGGCACAGCGCCCCCACATTGCACCCCAATACACTCAGCGCCCCCCCACATTGCACCCCAATACACTTAGCGCCCCCCCACATTGCACCCTAATACACTCAGCACCCCCCCACATTGCACCCTAATACACTCAGCACACCCCCCACATTGCACCCCAATACACTCAGCGCCCCCCCATTGCACCCTAATACACTCAGCGCCCCCCACATTGCACCCAAATACACTCAGCACCCCCCCACATTGCACCCTAATACACTCAGCACCCCCCCCCATTGCACCCCAATACACTCAGCGCCCCCCCACATTGCACCCTAATACACTCAGCGCCCCCACACATTGCACCCTAATACACTCAGCGCCCCCCACATTGTACACCAATACACTCAGCGCCCCCCACATTGCACCCCAATACACTCAGCGCCCCCCACATTGCACCCCAATACACTCAGCGCCCCCCCCACATTGCACCCAAATACACTCAGCACCCCCCCACATTGCACCCAAATACACTCAGCACCCCCCACATTGCACCCAAATACACTCAGCACCCCCCCCAACTTGCACCCCAATACACTCAGCACCCCCCCCCCATTGCACCCCAATACACTCAGCGCCCCCCCCACATTGCACCCTAATACACTCAGCACCCCCCACATCGCACCCAAATACACTCAGCGCCCCCCACATTGCACCCTATACACTCAGCACCCCCCACATCGCACCCTAATACACTCAGCGCCCCCCACATCGCACCCCAATACACTCAGCACCCCCCACATCGCACCCAAATACACTCAGCGCCCCCCACATTGCACCCTATACACTCAGCACCCCCCACATCGCACCCTAATACACTCAGCGCCCCCCACATTGCACCCCAATACACTCAGCACCCCCCACATTGCACCCTAATACACTCAGCACCCCCCACATCGCACCCAAATACACTCAGCACCCCCCCCCCACATCGCACCCAAATACACTCAGCGCCCCCCACATTGCACCCTAATACACTCAGCACCCCCCACATCGCACCCAAATACACTCAGCACCCCCCACATCGCACCCTAATACACTCAGCACCCCCCCCACATCGCACCCAAATACACTCAGCACCCCCCCCATCGCACCCAAATACACTCAGCGCCCCCCACATCGTACACCAATACACACAGCTCCCCCACATTGCACCCCAATACACTCAGCACCCCCCACATCGCACCCCAATACACTCAGCACCCCCCACATCGCACCCCAATACACTCAGCACCCCCCCACATCGCACCCCAATACACTCAGCACCCCCCACATTGCACCCCAATACACACAGCTCCCCCACATTGCACCCCAATACACTCAGCACCCCCCACATTGCACCCCAATACACTCAGCGCCCCCCACATTGTACACCAATACACTCAGCACCCCCCACATTGCAC